TCAAAGACATTCACACTGTAGTTTAGGAAAAAGTAGCACTTAGGAGAGTGCTAGAGTAGGTATATAAAAAAAAAACAGGTGAATCAAGCCACTAGGTAGTGCTCCTTCAGAGTACAGACGAAACATAGTCGCAGCTAAGATAGGGAAAACCTCATTTTAACTATACACAGACTACATTGTAGGGCTCCCATCACATTTTCTGAAAAAAAGGTATTTGTTGTGTTTCAAAGCCCTACTGTGAGCAGGTGAGTTCTGAGGGGAGGAAGACTTGGGGAATGGCCCCTGTGATGGGGAATGGCAGCTTCAGATCATGCTCTTGCCTCGACAGAACTGCTCCCCAATGGCAGGGCCAAGTCATAGGGATCATGACAGGCGTAGAATTTCCCATCATAAATAATCTCCAGGTAAATCCTCTGAAAAAAACAAATATACAATTCAGAATCTATTCACGCTTTCATGATGGATCTCCCAAAGTGCTCTGTCATTCACAGTTCATTCTTTTGGTGAATACTGACTGTGCCTCTGCTATAGGCCAGGCACCGGAAATGAGGGAATGGGGCCCAGTTCCTGCCTTCGTGGGGCTAGCATCCCAATGGGTGAGTGGCTCCCTCACCCCATCAAAGAGCTGGCTCCCCTGTGATTCCACTCCCTGTCAGCCTCCTCGGTTGCCTTTTTCATGGAAACCCCAAAACACAGACACAGATGGAAGAAAGGGAATTAGGATCTCACTCCAAGAATCAAGTGCAGGATGGTGCAGTGTAGTCACAGGAACAGGTAATCTTGGATGCAAATAACTTTCAACTTTCAGTTCATTTAAGGATGAGACTAAAAGATTTCCAGGAGGTGCACATCACTCTGAAGCATATTCCTTTAGCATATCCCTCTTTCTCCCTCTGCTTTCTCTCCCTTTGCCTCGCTCTCCCCCTCTAGCTCGCTCGCTCGCTCGCTCTCTCTCTCTCTCTCTCTCTCTCTCTCTCTCTCTCTCTCTCTCACACACACACACACACACACACACAAATACCCTCCCTTTCAAATACCCCAAAATACATACACACAAATACACAATCTATGCAAAGCTACCCAAATATACTAATCCACACATGATGGAGAACCCAGGCATGCCCCCACAAAGGAAGATCTGACATTTTCAAGGACACATCAACACTCCCAAACATATCTGTTCCACACCTTACATTCTCTTATATAGGAAAATGGCCACAAAGAAAAGCAAAAGCACACAAGACAGTCACTTTCTAACATAGGTTGTGATGCTCAGGCCGGCTGCCCCCGTAGCTGTTCTCCCCACGGTTTCTCTAAGGTTCTGAAGATTAAACAGTTGGTAGCCAACTTTGTATACATGCCTGTAAACAAGAGGGCTCCGCTTTAAATAATTATGTCAAAGAAATGACAACTGTGCTCTTTGCCAGAACAGGGATGAATAATTACAAAGCCAGGACATAATTAAGCAATTCTGACTGTCGGATTTTTGAGCTGTCTCTCTGATGTGCAGGGCTGGTGTGCCCGCCACCCATGCCCTCCTGGACGGGCCTCTGCACTCCTTTGATCTAGGTTTCCCAGTGCGGCCAGGGTGGGGTCATGGTCTGGTTATTACAGAAGTCTTTCGGGGGGGGGCTCACACTTCTCTGTATCCAGCTGCATGCTCTCTGTGTTGACAATGGTACAATTCAATGGTCAATATTTAACAAGATATAATTCCTTTAAAATTCTGGAAAATGAGCAACTCTTAGATATTGCAGGTCCATTAACTAATCACACACACGTGCCTGCGTGAGACTCAGGGAGAGCCTGTTGTCACATTACCCATCACCTCCTAATGAATGACAACATCTTTCTGTAGAACAACAACAAAAAAATACAACAAAAGCCAAAAGGCAGCAATGAAGGAAGAACCGTGTCATCGGGAGAGAGAGGAAGGGAGTACTTGCTCTCAAGTGCCAGGGCCTGCCAGGTACCCAATCAAACCTTGGTGACACGGGGGTTTATTAGTTCCTGGCTGATCTTGCATTTGCGTCAGCCGAGAACACCCAGCCTGCCGTTCCCTACCTCCGAGGCAAGGGTTGCAACTGGAGAGGCATTTTCCATTCTCCCAAATACTTTATGTCAGGAATAAAATGAAAACAGCTCCCCAAATCACGGCCCCCTTGATCATCCATCAGCACATTCTGCTGAATAAGCACAACAGGCCGCTGCCATCTCCAAAAGGACAGAGCCAACTTGAGATCCGGATTCCTTTATGAAAAATAGGTCTTTGCCATGTGTGCTCTGCACAGCCTCGGCAATTCACAGGGAGGAAATTGTTCTTCTCTTAGAAGCCGACTCTGGGTGTACACAGGCCTCCCTGAGCATACATATGCATATGTGCACAGAGACAGACTGTGCCTATACACACGTGCCTAGGAACAGAGAGTGCACACTGTGAAGAGGCCAGGACCAGCCTTTTTCAGGCAATTTATTAATTCAGCAAGGAGCTCTTTCTCTCAGTGTGGATCTCTGAAAACAACAGGGAATCGCCTGTCACTCAAGAGGCATGCGGTGTGATGCAAAACCACTAACACTGAATCTGCTTGTGCTCTCCAAGGGCCATGATGGAAATAGAACACCTAACCAGAAGCCCAAAACCCCGGGTCTGTTCCCAGAGGTGCCTCTTCAGGACTGTAGGGCCTGCTCCCATCGCTGCTTCCTGTCCGCAGGTCCCACATCCACGAAATGAGAAAGTCAGCTGAGTGATTTCTGAAGTCCTCTCTGGTTTGGAAATCATATGACACTACAAAAAGGGAACCAGAGGTCTCCACCTGTAGATTTTTGCCTCTCTCCTCAGACAATTAACTGGCATTTTTGAAGTTTAGTAAGGATTTTAGAGTCAATCACACAAACATGAGCCAATTCTATAATTGATTAGAAACTAATTGGGAACACTGAAGCTGCTAATACCTCTGAGAAATAGCTAACGCCAGATTTGAAGAAGACATTCCCAGTCACCCTCAAAGGCAGGAGAGGATTCCAATTCCCTCCACCCCTGTTTTACAGAACAAAAAAAAAAAAAAAACCAAAAAAAGTCCTACTTTTATCTCTCAATTTAGGCCTTCCTATGAAGTTTTGTTTGAACAAAGAGATCCACAGGGAGAAATGTTTAGCTCACTGCTCGGGGTAAGAAAACAGGGAGACGGAGGTCAACTTCAGGGCTAGCAATTCCTAGCCAGGTGACCTGGGGAAGCCCGGCGAATTTCTCTGGGCCTGAGTTCCCTCATCTGTAGAGTGAGCAAATGGCCCCTCTCTCCTACCTTAACAGGGTTACGTGAAGTTCCACAAACCTATAGACAAAGATCCCCGGAACAGGGTAGGCACACACTGAACACCCCATCTAAGCACAGTGGATGCTCCAATTATTACTCCTCGGATTTCCAATGATAATGTACAGCTTCCCATGCCAAAGGCAAATGACAGCAGGAGAAATCCTGATCTCCTCTGTATGGTGTGCACATGAAAGTGGGAAATGTAGGGAGGGCAGGCAGGTTAGGACCCAAAATATTACAAAGAGTTTATGCACTGTACTTCGCTGGGGTCAGCTATCTGTGGAATATTTTCATGGAAGGAAGAAAGGAAGGAAGGAAAGAAGGAAGGGAGGGAGGGAGAGAGGGAAGGAAGGAGGCCAAGAAATAAATTCTTTCATTTGGACAAAATTACAAAAGCTGGAATAACTAAAGGCAGTCATGGGCAATATGTCAAATCTGTGCCTCAATAAGGAGAACTGTTAACACTTTAATAGCTATGAAATGAATCACTCGATTAATTTCCCACATGCTGAAACAGGTAACAATACATTTATCTGCCAGTATTATACCCTCCGTATCATATATTTCCACAACTGTTAGCAATTTTATTCAGCATAACGGGAAATCAGTTGCACCTCATGGATTCAGGGAAGGAAAGTGGCCTGAGGTCTGCTGCCAACTGAGCAACGTGATGGAAGAGGTTTCGTTATTCTGCTCTGGTTGGCTTTTGTTTGTTTTTTCTTTCTCCCCCTTAATCACTTGCAAGACATGTACGGAGGGCCATAAGTCAATAAGTGAGGACAAACTAGGCCTCTAGGGTTTCTGTGCCGGTGTTTTCAACACACAAACTACAATCTCATGGGAGGTGACTATATAGCTCCATAGAGCTCCAGGGTGTTGATGGTTCTCCAAATGGGTCATCAGAGGTCATTGTGTCCATTCCCCAGCCTCTGTTTTCATGAAAGGACCCAAACTCTTCCAAAAGAGATCATTGTACAGGCCTTCAGGAAAATATCCATGTGTCTGAATCCAAAACCCCAAGCCTAATCKCCCCTGCCTCATAGAAATAGCCATTAGGATGTCACGTACATGGCCTCCCTACAGACTCAGCTGGTAAAGGAAAGGTCAGCAAACTCCATCTGATGACCTCTGGAGAGCTACACATGGTGAGCCCACGCCAGCCCTAGGACATGTCGTCAGAAAGCATCACCTTGTGTGCTAAAAGTATCTCAGGAGCTGCAGAGTTCGCCCCTGTCATGGAAGGAGATCACTCATTTCTAGCTCCCCTTTGGCTGCAAGAAAGAAGAGCCTGCTCTGGAGGACTGTAGGGATCCTTCCCACCCCAGAAATAGGCAAATTCCAATGCTTCCTCCTTTCTTAGCTCCAGACCTATAGAGGCCCCACTATGGAAACTTTGGAAGGTGGCCTAAAGTGCACCCTCAGATTTCCCTCTGAGCTGCATATGGTACTGCTTTATTAGTTGAGATCATTTTACAAATAAGGCCCCCTTACACTGGATCCCAGGGAGACCCAATGTATATCCAATGCCATTTCACATTTGGCCCAAAGTACATCGATGGATGAATCCCTGGTGTGAGATCCAGCCTGCATTCTAAACTCACAGGAGGATGTTATTCCATGCTCTGGAGGGTGACCAGTGCCCTGATATATAAATCCCTCATGAAGAACAGTGAGTAGGTAGCTCACCTTGGGCTTCACCACCTTCATGAAGGCCCCTCTGACCAATGCCTCTTCTCTTTCTTGTCTGGTTACTTTCTGGGCATCCAGAAACTTCAAGTTAGGCAGCTTGTGCAGAACAAAGCATCTGGAAGAGAAGAGTCAGAAAGGACTCAGGAAGGGAGGGGCTAAGACTCCAGAACCAGGCAATTAGAACCAGAACCAGCCTTAGGAATCTACCAGTATGTCTTCAGCAATTTAGATCTCAGCTGCTAAATCACCTCTCATCTTTCACGATGTATGAACAATCATTCAAATGGTTCTATCTTAGAAACAAGTCAACTTAAGAGACACATGTTAATGACTGTACTTCACTTGAAGGTAGACCCACACCCCTTACCTGAATCAGCCATTAGGACCTTATCAATATATTCCCCTTCTTTCATTCTGGAAAGTGAACCTGGCTGCTTGCTGCACAGGGAGCTCCCAGTAAAATCGAGCTACCCCTTGATTGTACCATTTATGTCACCACCTTTCCTGAGAGTCCTCTGCATCAGTCTCATCTCTGAGACGATAACAGGTCTTCAATGTGGAGCTCAGACACAAGACCTTTATTTTCCATCCAGACAATCAACAAGAATGTAATAACCAGGACAGCCATGGGAGAAGTCAGGAACAGGGGCAGATGAGAAATGCTTCCTCAAGGATACAGACAGGGATCCTGAGGACATTTGCTCTGAGRACATCATCACTGGGTTAGAGCCACACTGGCACTATGAAGATTATCAAGGAGAAGCAAGGAGAGTTGATTTCAAGGGGATATTAATAGCCCAACAACTGCTCGGTGGCCTCTCTTCCCTTTGCGAAGATGCTTTGGTATTCATTATGGACTGCAGGAATAAGCCAGTGGCAATGTGGGTGATGAACTCTCCTTAAGTGATATAGATAGGGAGTTTACGAGAAGATATACTTGGCCATACAGAATCTAGACACCCGTCTATACTTCTCCCACATCAGTGAGTTACCAAATCAGATACTTTCCCTCAAGTTCCCATGCTCCATCAATCAAACAAGCAACTGTTTAGACTCTATCCTGCTTAAGTAGAAAAAGTGAGTAGCCACTGTCAAGAGCAATGGATTAGCTCCAAGGAAATCTGTCACTTCCTTTCTGCACCAACCACCTCAGTACTCACCCATCATCAAGCCCCAACCTCCACAAAAGTTACTTCTTCACCTCTAGCCCACATCCCTTTCTTCTCCCTCAGCTTTCCTAGAATACACTGTCAATACCATACTTCTCTATTTTCTTGGTGTTCATTGATGTCCTTAGCCAAACTATAAGCTTCTTGAAGGCAGGGACAAATTTCCTTGTTTACCCTCACCACCTCTTAAAAACTCACATTAGAACAGACTCATTAACATAACCCTTTATTCTAGTTTCCCTATATTTCTTGATCTTCTACTATGTGCCAGGTGCTAGCGATAAGGAGGAGATTATGATATGGTTCCCACTATCAAAGAGGCTTTTAGTGTAATGGGGAAGATAAATTCATACAGAGAAATGAGAAATCAATGTAGCTAAATGCCAGAGGGTATGACCAGAGCAGTTATGGGAGTGAAGAGAAAGAGGCCTGCAATACTCTCTGAATAACTGAAATCTAAGGGGGGAAAGAAGGGACAGAAAACCTCAAACAGACTTCAAAGAACCAAATCCACAAGCACTTAGCCTTTTGGAAGCAGAGATGCCTGGGGTATGCAATGAGCCTGGGGTTCCCAGAGTCACCACCCACCTTCTCAAGGTGATCCTGTCTCCAAGTGCCCTTCTTATATTTGTCCAGATTAAAGACCTGAGGGATCACTCAAAAGCCAGAGATAACAGTTTAAAAGCCTCCAGTGACAGCCTTCGTGTTCCTCATTGTCCAAGTCAGAACGGTGCAAAACTTCTTCTGGGAGGCTTTTCCTCTGGCGCACTGTCCACCCCAAAGCCTCAGGACCTGGAGTTGGACTCCCTCCTTCCTGCTTCCTCCCTGGCCTCCATCCATCACCCCCTTTCCTGTCTCTCCCTAAGCCTCTCTCTCTCCAAATGCCCCCTAGCCGCCTCCAAAATCAAGAAAGTGTCCCCAAGGGCCCCGATGTCCTCTCTATTCCTCAGTAGAATCCCCACCGGCCTCACACTGTCAGAGAGAACTTCCATCTTCTGCTTGTAGCGGCAAAGTCTCGATGACAACAGAGTCTTTCAAAAAAGACATGTACAGACAGCAACAATATGTCAGGAGTGACGCTCCAAGGAGTAAAGACACCCACTAAGTGTAGGGTGGGAAAAGATGAATATTCAGGTGAAGAAAACATCAGTATTAGAAAATCAGCCAATGTTTAATGATGGAGTGAAAGATGCCTTCACGGGGCTGGCAGGAGCCTCGATGACAACAGACCGCACATTGTCATTTCGCCTCACTTTGGATCACAGCCCTGAAATCAAAGGAGAAAGACAGAGAGAGGTGCTGGCTTTTAAGCTAGTTAGAAATTTTAGATGACAAAGAGCTGCTGTTTTCTGAGTGCTCTTCTCATACAATCGAAGAGACAGCCCATGTCGCAGGCTGCCAATCACCCCCGGAGCTCAGGGTGAGTGGACTCCCACCTTGTGGGGCCAGCCTGGGCTTCCAAGGGGGTCGCTGCTCAGAGAGGTCTGGGGATACTGGGGAGACTCACTGCCAAGAGTGGGGTGTGAGGCTCGGCCCAGGGTGCAAAGTTGCCTCTGCTAGAGGTGCCTTCTTCCATTCACTCCCACAGTCAACAAATAATTATAGAGCAGCTACCACCTGCCAGGAGCTGCTGAGGGAAAAAAAAAATGTGATGAACACAACAGAAGGTTTCTGCTCTCAATGAGCTTATGTTCTAGCACAGCGGTTCTCGACTTTTGAGCAGGCATCAGCAGCCCCCGGAGGCTTGTTAAAACACACGTCGCTGCACCCCATCCCCAGAGTTTCTGATTCAGGAGGTTTGGAGTGGGGCCTGGAATTTATGTTTCTAATAAGTTCCCAGGTGATGCTGCTGTTGCTGTCCTGCTGAGCACCAATGTCCTCGTGAAAATAACAACACGAGGAATAACAGTCTGGGAATGATGAKCGTGGGGAGACGGCCCATGGTCTCCTTCCCAGGTCCCGCTAGCAATCCGCCCTGGCCCAGTGTCTGTGGTTTGCACGGCTCAGACAGTGGCCTGGTCTACCACATCCTCCTGCCCCATGATGGCTCAGCTCTGGCTCCACACATGATTGCCAAGTGATAAGTCAGTGGGCTTCCTGCCTGCCTGTCCCATCCTGGTCTTGGGAGATCTATTTCCCTTTGTTCTGGGTCATGACAGGGTGTCAAAAGGCGCAGCTTCAATCCTGAGTGTAATACAAGTTTGCCATAAAAATACAAGAGAGGATTCCCGAAGCCACAGAATGAAGGCTTTTACAATATCAATTCAACCCTTGTAAATTTAATCCAGGGTTATTTGTTGCACCAAAATCTCTTTACCGTGATGTATTACTTAGTTACTGGGGTTATCACAGCCGTATCCTAAAGTTGCATAGTACATAAAACATTTCAGTTAACAATGCAGGAAGGTTAACTCCCCCAGATAACCTGCAATCACAAGGGCTAGTCCAGATGACGTCCTTCTGTCAGCTTCCGAGAGCTATTGATGGTTCAATCAGTTTGTTTTGAAGGTAAAGTACAACAAAAGGGCAGTAAACTTATTCAGACTGTCAACAGGGGCTATCGGGAATGGGGCTTGCAGGTAAGTAATTCTGGGTGTTTTAAGGCTATTATCAAACAGCAATGGTTGAAGGAAGAGACAGCTACTAATAACACAGAAGGCAGCCATCATAAACCACTTTATGGCAGAAACCTCCGTCTATAAATCCTGCGACACCCGGAGACAGCTTCAGATTTATAAAACTGCTTGTTAAGCCGGGGCAYTGCTTAATGAAAAGAGATCCGTCTAAGTTCCAAGTCTCACGTCCAGAGCTCCAGAGGGCGACTCCAATTTTCCTGACCTTCTCAAGGTGGCTGGGGGGAAGCCCCTAGGGCTGGGGTGGTGGGAGCTGGAGCCACTCCTGGCTGTGATATGGAAGGTGAGGTTATCAAAAGGAGAGCAGGGGGCCCTGGGAAGGTGTTTAAACACCCATTTGTCTCTGTCCGAAAAGAGATTTCTCAAAAGTGAGAGACCAGCACCCAGAGCTTTCCAGGTACTCTCTCTTTTCATGAAGAATATTCCATTTTTTTTAAAGGACTCCTCTAAGGAGAGAGGAAGACTGGAATGGGGAGAAAAGATACATCTGGAAAGCTTTTTGTTTCTCTTTGTTTTGCACCAAAAATCTACTTTTTTTTTTCCTGCTCCAATCCCAGTGCTCTGGCATTTTTCATGTAGACCTCAAAGAGAGAGATGATCTTTCCTCCTACCCCAACTTATTACCCCAGGAAGAGGGTATAGTCACAGAAAAACCGTGATGGGTCTCCAGTATCTGCAGTATTGGGTGGGGGTGGCCACCATGTTTCTTTCTCTGACATTCTATTGGAGAAATAGCAAATTTCCAGGTGTTTTTTTTTTTTTTATTTGTCTGTTTTCCCTCTGGTACTGAGAATTGAATTCACTGAACTACATTCCCAGACCTTTTAAAAATTGTTTTTAAATTTTAAGACAGGGTCTCTCCATGTTGCTGAGGRTCTTGCTAAGTTGCTGAGGCTGGCCTCCAACTTATGATCTTTCTGGCCCAGCCTCCCCAGCCTCTGGGATTTCAGGTAGGTGTCACCACACCCAGCTCTAAGCTTCTAGCTCTTACAGGGGCCAGGCTTGGGGTTCCTGGACACATGTTCTATTTCTTCCCACTTAGGGCATCCTACACTTCCTCTTGCACAGTGAGTTGGGAGACAGAGCAGAAGCTACAAATGCACAACCTGGGCTCCAAAAGGCAGCCAAAGGGGACCCAACAACTGTTTCTAACCCTTCACAAAGCACAACAGAACTGGGCAAGGATGCTAGCAAAATGTGGCACTTCTTTGCTGCTGTCTTAACAACATCCACTCCATTTATAACATAGGCTATCTCCTTCTGATCAAAAGCACTGATCAGCTGCTAAATATGTCTCATTAATAAAAGAAAAA